TTTTCTTGAGCTGAGGGGCTTTGGAGTCACCGTATCCTTTGCGACATCCCTATCTAAGTTGTAAATCACAGGTCTCCCAATACTCCTTAACTCCCTTCTTCATTTAGGCTTCTTTTTAGCCCACACCACTACCTGACATACTATATATTTTACTTACCTTGTTTATAGTGTGTTTTCTTCCTCTACAATATAAATTCCACGAAGGTAGAGATTTTTGTCCTTTATTTTCACTGTTCTAGCCCCCAAATCTGGAACAGTGTGTGGCACATTGGAAGATACTCAATGAGTATAGGTCGAATAATTGAAAGAACCATACCATGTTGCCTCACCTAGACATAGTTACTAAGAATAAGCACGGTTATTGTGCAAAGAATTCCCAGCAGTTGCCTATGTCTCACACAGAGAAAAACAAGAAAAGTTAGATGTAAACCACTACATGAAGGATTAGATGAAATAAAAACAATGATCAGACATTGAGGATTCTTAAGCATTGTCATAAGCTAAAGAAAAACAATCAAACCTCTGGAGACATTGGAAAATAGGATAAATTGTAAATTTATTGGTTTTTACCATTGCAGTGTGGAAAGACAAAAGGAAGGATGGGTCAGCTTCCTGTGGTCTTCCTGGCCCAGGTATCCATGGCTAAAGTAAATGTATTGTTTATCTGACTTTTGTGCATGTAAATATCCAAATGTAATATTCTTACATGCTTAGAGGATTTTGTAGACAATGAATAGCACTCTAAGACTAATCCTCTTTTTATAAAAATACAACAGCAGACTTGCCTGTAAAGATTATCATATAGAATCCACTCATAGTATAAAAAAAATAAAATCAAATTCAAAAATTCAAAAAAAAGAATCCACTCATAGGCTTGTATGAATCAGTTCCCTTAAGGAAAAGTCATAATTTTTATGATATCCCTGCACCATTATTGGCCTGTGTTTATATAGCTGTCTTCAATGAAGACAATAATGTGATTAAGTGGCATATCATCTCCATGTCAGGCGGAAGTTACCCAGATTTTATGTTAGGATATAGAGTGAAATACAAAGAGATGAAAAGGTTTTGCTTAATAATGATGACTCTTAAATAGGATTGAGTCTCTTACATACCAAATTGTTTACTTACCTAGAGTCCATCTGAAGGTGGTGAAATACATTGGACAATGTCTTCTAGTGCTGTGACTTAAGGTTTCTTAGTTGTATGTTTCATTTTTAGAAGCATTGCTTCCAGGCTGTGTTGTTTTGGAACTCATCTGAAAGATACATGAATCTGACTCCAGGGGCTTTTAGAGCTGGAAGGGGCCTCAGATAATCGGAGCCACACTCTTGCTTTACAAGTCGGGAAATGTGACCTGGAGACATGAAGCAACTTGCCCAAGGACGTTACCGTAGCTTGTGGCGAAACTGACACTAGAATCCCATTCTTCCAATTCCAGTCTCGATCTCTTTCCTTTATCCCATGCTACTCAGAAAACCCACCAACATTCCAAAACACTGTAAATTGAGCATTGCCTTACCTGTGACAGTAGCGATTTTTGGAGGGATGTATGTATTGTATTTAAACGGATCATATGGCTTTGGGAAAGAATGGTCACAGCATGAGAATGGGGACTGACATTTGAGAATCATTGTAGAAACGACAAAACCCTCATAATGAAAAGTGGATCGCATATAGTCCTGGCACCTTAATCCTCCACCAAATTGCACTGTGACTCTGAAGGTGATTACTTCATGCCTGTCACTCTGCATCTGGCTCTAAGGACACATATCTGTGGCTCTCACCCCACATTTCTGATTATAGTTGGTAAAAATGTTTATAAATTTCATTGGTTTCTTGGTACACAGAAAAAGTTGAATAACAGAACTATTAGTACTTAGGTAAGGACACATGAATATTTTCTACAGCATAAATCTGTTTTCTACTCAGCTAGATATTAGGCCATCTGGTAATGGAAAAAGTGTTTGGAAATCCACCTAAGTTAACCTTAAGTGTTGCATTGTCTACCTTTGGGGTTTGAATTTTTAAGTTTCATATTGTAATAGATAGTGATCA